CCCCCAACAAAATGGTATAGCTGAAAGGAAAAATAGGCATCTTTTAGAAACTGCTCGTGCTCTCATGTTCACCAATTCTGTTCCTAACTGTTTTTGGGGTGATGCTGTCCTTACTGCTTGTTATCTCATTAATCGGATGCCCTCTCGTGTTCTGAAATTTAACACTCCACTAGAAATCTTACTCACTATCTATCCGCAAATCCGATCTGTCCTCACAATTCCCCTCAAAATATTTGGATGTACTGCATTCACTCATGTTTATGATCATGAACGTCACAAATTGGAGCCAAAAGCCAGAAAGTGTGTCTTCCTTGGTTACTCTCCTACTCAAAAAGGCTATAAATGCTATTGTCCATTTACCAATAAATTTTACACTACCATGGATGTCACATTTTTTGAGTCTCAATCTTTCTTCTCCCTAAATTCCCCTCAGGGGGAGACTGAGCCTATTACGAGTAGTCTTGATGGAAATTTTTGGGAGATTGACGATCTAAATACCAAAATAGAGTCCCCACAGTCAAAAATACCTGAGATTGATGGTCTAAATACCGAGTCACCTCAGCCAAAAATACCTATCCCGATCATCCCAATTGCTCAGATAGAAGAGTCAGTTCCTATTATTTCCTGTAATAATGCAGATGATCAAGTCAACCCAAATCGAAGTGACAAGAAACCTGAGACTCTTGTTTATTCTCGGCGACAAACGGTTCAAAGAGGAGTGGAGCCACCACAGCCTCAACAGCAAAGTCATGAATCCATCTCGTCCTTAGGTACTGAACAATCTACCCTTGTGCCTCAAGACAATACTAATGATCTTGATCTTCCTATTGCACTTAGGAAGGGTGTGAGATCGTGTACTCAACATCCAATTGCTCGATGTATTGGTTATAGTCATTTATCTTCAGCAGTTCAGACCTTGGCTCTCAATCTGGAAGCCAATGAGGTACCAAAATCCATTCAAGAGGCTATGAGCAATCCACAGTGGAAAAATGCGGTAGATGATGAAATGAAGGCTTTGAAGCTTAATGATACGTGGACAGTAGTTGATTGTCCTCAAGATAAACCAACGGTAGGATGCCGATGGATCTTTACTGTCAAATATAAGGCTGATGGGTCCATTGAAAGGTATAAAGCAAGATTGGTGGCCAAAGGATACTCTCAGACTTTTGGGGTAGACTATCAGGAGAC